TCAGGGAAGCTTTCCTTGATTTAGAGTTCATGTTCATCTCCCTTGCACCCTTCTGCTATAACCTGTAACTGGTTAGCTGCCCCCCTCCCACACTGGTCCGTGAGTTCTGTGAAGAAGGTCTGGGTTCCACACCGCACCCCTCTCTGCCTAGCACAGAGCCTGGCACGGGGTAAGGGCGTGTACACCGACGTACACTGACCTCCAGCTGAACGAGTGAAGGACTGAAGGCCACCCCAGGCCGCCCTTACATAGCCTTAGCCCAGGGATGCCACCACCCGTGCTGCTGCACTGCGAAACACAGGCCTTCCCAACACAGATACAAATCTGCAATAGGAAACGGGCTTTTTTAAAAATAACAGCACATTCTTTTTTCTTCATTGTTTTTTTTTTTTTTTCTTTCTGCATGGCTTGTTTTTCCGGTGCGGCCCTTGGACCAGCTGCAGGGAAGCCCCTCCCAGGCCCCACTCTGAGAACATGGGCTCCGGGGCCTCCAAGGACGCCCGGACCCCAGCAGGGTGGAGCTGCACCACACGATTCTACACCAGTCCTGGCACCAGAACCCCCTCGCTCAAACCCCAATGTTGGGGGCGGGGTTACCTCCCAGAAACTTGTTCTCAGGCGAGGGCTTTACAACCCAATGTGACATTTCCCACGGGCTTCTCCTCAGTGGGGCTGCAGTTCTCTGCCCTCATTCAAAGAGGGCATGCCCAAGGAGGTGACATGCGTCTGCGAGGGTCCCAAGCCTGGCCACAGCACTGTGCAACGCTGGGCTCCTTACTTCCCCTCCTGGGGCCCCAGTCCCCCATGTGTGAGATGGAAATACTAATCCCCACCTGTGGGGCTGTCCTCTGCACAGGGATGTGACATGCTTGGTGCCGCATCTGGCACCCGGTAACCCTCCATAAACATTAGCTGCCTTCATCTCCATTCTCTTCACCTTCATCATCCCTGGGTCTCCTACTGTGTCTCCTTCAGCGTCCCTTCACTGAATTGCATTCTCTCCAGACCAGCAGAGACCTCCAAAGGCTGTTGAATCTCACATTCCTGCCCTCCTGGAATTTCATCTAGTCCATCCCAGGAAAACGGTCCTTCTGGAGCAGGGTCGTTGGTACGTACGGGGAGCACAGTATCCGTTCTCCACCGGCCAGTCACTGGGCCTGCCGTGCCTGACACCTCCTCCGGCTGGACCCGCCCGCCCGCCCGCACCCCAGGGAAGCAGGGTCCGTTACTCCAGTCCTTAGCCCACAGCACAAAGTGAGCCCATGGTCAGTGCTCAGGGACTGGTCAGAAGCTGTTTAGTGAGCAGCTGTTGTGTGCAGACACTGGAAATATGGGGGCACGCACCAGCCACCCCAGGCCTGCCCTCTCGAAGTTTATGATTTGATGAAGGAGTGAGGCTGCAATCAGTAATTCCACCAACAAGTATAAAACTGCTACTAAGATGACTGCTACAGAGGAAGGGTCTGTGGGTCCATGAGAGGCTGTAACGCAGGGCTCGACCTAATCAGGGAGGGCTTCCCTGAAGAGGTGATGCTGAAGTTGAAAGATGAAGAACGAGGAGGCCTAAGCAGCAGAGTAGAATGTGTGGTTGGAACAGAGAGGACAGCATGAGGAAAGTACCGGGTTAGGCAGAAGACGACAAAGAGAAGGATACAGGACAGTGTCCCGTGGGGCCTGGAGACAGCTTAAGGATTCCTGTCTTCCTTCTAAAAGCAGTGGGAGCGTATGGAGGCTGTTCAGACAGGGTGGACAGACTCAGATTCGTCAAAAAGGTCACCTGGCTGCGAAGGATGAGCCTTCCCAAGCGTGTGTGTACAGTTGACCCTTGAACAACATGGGTTTAAAAAGCCACATATAAGTGGACCCGTGCAGTTCAAACCTGTGTGGTTCAAGAGCCAACTTTTCCAATCTTCAACTGGGAATCCACAGACATGGAGGGTCGACTGCAGTTACATTTTTGCAGAGTCAAAGTTATAAGTAGACTTTTGATTTTGCTAGGGGCAGGGATTGGCACCCTTAACCCTGATCCTGTTCAAGAGTCAAGTGCACTTATCTCTGCCAGGAACACTCCTCTAGTCCATGTGGAAGGCAGGGCAGCCTAGGTTAGGCTATGCTGCGGTAACAAACAACCCCCAAATCCCAGTGGTTTAAAACAACGAAGGTTTAGTTAACACTCATGTTGCATGTCCCGCGACTGTGGGACATCAAGGGGCTCCACTCGTGTAGTGTTGCAGGGACCCAGGCTGGCAGAAGCAGCCACCATCCCACACACTGCCAGTTGCCACGCCACAGGAAAAGGGCACTCTGGAGGGTCCATACTAGCAACTAAACACTTCGGCCCAGAAGTGACATGTATCACTCTAGTTCAGACCTCACCAGCCAGTCACACGGCCCTACCCAAGCACTGGATTCCACCCTACCATGTGCCTGGATGAACCAGAAATATTCAAGGGAGAGCATTAAGGACCACCACTCTCCCACCCGCTCTGGCCCTTCGCCGACTCATTCATTAGCTCAAACTGCTCAATACTCCAGAAGGAGGGACCATCAGAGTGTGCAGGAGAGCCTTGGGGTGCAGAGACCCAACGGAGGGTGGGTGATGAGGCCAAGGAAAAAGTGGGGGGCCGGATCTCTCAGAGACTTTCAGGCCACGGTAACAATTTGGTTCTTTATCCTAAAGGCACTGGGAGGACTTTTCAGTGCTGTAAGCAGGACGTGGGAGGCCCGATGGTGCTGCTGTTGAGATGGGCATGGAGGGGAGGCGGCAGGTGGGCCATTAGGGGGCCCTTGCTATCGTCCTGGGGAGAGTCAGGGGTGGCTCGATGAAGAAGCTGAGGAGGAGATGGAAAGAAGTGGACAGATTCTACGTATAGGCTAACGTTCCCTTGACCTGCAGATGGAATGGATTGGGGAAACAGAGTCACCAACCAAGCCTCCTGCCTTCAGAACTAGTAGAATGGCCCTAGCCTTGGCCAAGATCAGAGCCCCAGAGGAGGTGTAGAGAGGGAGATGAGGGGACAGCCTTGGACGCCGTGTATTGGTCGTGACTGAGACAGCCAAGAAGACAGGCGGAGGAGGCAGCTGAATACACAGGTATGCACGCTGACTCCTAGCCCCGTGGTCTTTACCTCTTCCACACTTGCCAATGCTCTATCTACTACAGGCGAGGAGAGGAGAACAAATTTATGAAGCACATCAATCCAACGGGTCTGAAGGACAGAACTGTAACTCAAGTCAAAATCGTATGTAACTGATGGTTGTGACGGCTGATGAAGAGCTATGAAGGGGGCCTCATATATTTGAGAATGTCACCAGCGAAGGGAACGAGATCCTGTCCCAGCTGTTCCTTGGAGGCCCTGCTGGTTGGGACTGGATGGACCTGGGTGGGGCCGCCAGGATACTCTGGTATTCCCAGGACAGTCTATTCTGCACTGATTCCAGGGAATGAGAACAACGCTTCTTAAATCATGTGTCAGCCATGGGCTGGGCGTTTTGTCTCGGCCGTTTCACTGGACCTCACAGCTGCCTTGACAGACAGGCTTTGCTGGCCCCGCTCTAGGGAGGGAGAAGCGAGGTTCATACAGGTCAGATAACAGTACGGAGTCCACGTGGGAGGATTCCAATGGAAAAGCCCCTTTCCACCAAACACTCCCTAACTGCCAGGGCTGTATTCCCAGAAGGGACGACTTTCAGACACGTGCCAACAGAGCACTCTGCTCGCCCACCCATCAGAGTTGGTGGGCAAAGACCATGCCCCACTCCCCAGGGAAGAAGACCACAGCCCATTAATTCTGGTGGGTGGATGCCACCCCTCCCCCTAATACCTTCCTTCCCCTCAAGGGAAATGTGAGCAAAGGCAAGCCTGAGTGCCAGAGGCAGGACGCTCCGTGGAAAAATTCCTTTGCCTCAGCCCAGACAAAACCCCCAAAGTTTATAGGGTTTCCAGGCATCAAGAGCATTCTCTCATTATTGTCTCCTGTCCCCACGCACAAAGAACTGGGTGTGTTTCCTTTCAGCCACTCTAAATTATATACCACAGCCTTTCCCCACGTGAAGCAAACGCGTAAGAAGGAAGAGAGGTTAAACCCTTTTCTGCCCAAGTCTCAGCCCATCCTGGGGGTCTAAGCCCCTATAGCGCAACCCGGTTCAAGACACAAGCAACTTTTCAACCAGCATCGCCCAGTGCTCAAGACATTAGTATTCTCCTTGCAGCGACTTGCCTAGGCTGTGCTGGCCTTGACCGGAGAAAGGTCATTGGCCGCGAAGTTCCCGCAGTTTCTGCATCTGAGAGTACCTTGGGGATTGCCAGTAGGGGAGATGCGGGCTACACTCCGGAGGGATTTGCCAGAGTCTACACCGCAACTGAGATTTAAAACATATTAAAGAAACGGCCTCCGGCTCAGCCACGTGTAGCGGGAAATCAAGGACCGCGACAGAAAAAGCCCCACCGCATTCTGAAAAATCCGAGCCCCGCACATCAGCCGCGGACGCCCAGCCGAAAGTGCCTCCTAAAACTAGGCCAGCGGCCGCGACAAGCCAGCCCACCAGGAGCCTTCGGCGCCCCGCCCCGCGCGTGTCGCCGGGTTCTCATTCCGAACGCTGGGCCCGGGCCGCCGCTCCCATTGGTCGGCGACCACGTCCGTCAGTGGGCGGGACGTCCGCGCCGAGAAAAGGCTACATTGTAACAAGGCGAGCGAACGAGGAGCTAGCGGGGAGGAAGGAGGCGGAGGGGCGGCCCCCCGAATCCCGCAGCGGCGGCGGCGGCGGCGGCAGCTACCTGCCGAGGGTTAACCCACCTAAAGGCCGGGGCGAACCGCCTCCCCCCGGCCTGCACCCGCGCCACCCCTGTCCCCGCTCCGCCCGCGCCGGTCGCTGACGGCCCGCGCCCCCCGCAGCCGCTCGCAGCCCCTGCACCGGCGGACCCCGCGCTAGCTGGCAAACTGCCGAGCGCTTTCCGAAGCCATTTTCAATGGCCACATTGGCTACCGGGGCTGACTCACCTTCCCGGGAATGCTGCGGCAGCCGCGGGGCCCGGGCGGCGCAGGCGGCCCGGCGGGCGGCTCGGCGGAGGCGGCGCGGCCCGGGCGGGCGGCCCCGCGGCGGGAGCGGCCGCGCTGCGGCGCTCGGGTCCCGGGCGAGGCAAAGTTTCAGCGCCAGCCTCGGCGCGGCGGCGGCGGCGACTCGCTGCTGCTCTCCTCCCCTGCTTTGACCACCATCTTATTAGTACAGGAAATGACATGGAAAACGGAAGAAAGCGGCGTTTGGGGCAGACGCGGACCCCCCAATTCAGGGGCCGGAGACGGGACTCACCAGCCGCGTCCCAGCCCGGCCCCGGAGAAAACTCCCGGAGCCCCCTCGGCCCCCGCCCGGCGCGTGGCCCGGAGGGGGAAACGAGCTCCACGAACTCAAAAAGACAGGGCGAGTTTTATAATACAGCCCGAGGAAAAAAAATCGAGAAAAAAATAAATAAATGAAAAAAGAAAAGGTTAAAAGAACTTTCGAACTGGGACACTTTTTTTTTTTCTGGTCGGAATTAAAAGTTCTCGAATTTTAAAAAGTCATTCCGTAGCGGGGGCTCCCAGGCTCTCCGGGTCCCGTCGCTGCCCATTTTGAACCAAATAGAGGGATAAACGCGTTTATATTTTTAACCCTTTCGAGGCTCCGCCGCCCTTTGCAGGCCCGCTCCCGGTCCCGTTTAACCCTTTGGATGCCCAACAGTCTAGAGATAAACACCCAAGTTGTAAAACACAGGCGTCCCGCTGAAAGCTGAGGGTAAGGGGCTTGGGAGTTCGTTTAAAATGTTAACTATTTACGTGGGGCTGCAGTTTTAAAGTCGCGAGCCGCACGTGCTCTTCAAGTGGAAATTTGTTACCGGGATTGAGATTCTGAAAACCGGAGGGGCCGGTCCCTGTCCGGCTTGGGAAAGATGTTTCAACGGTGCTCACTGGCTCGGTTCCTCCGTTTCTCCATCTGTGAAATGGGATTCAGCATCACAGAGAGGCTGAAGGTAGCGAGGACGAGACGGAGGATTTTCTTGGAGACAGAGTGCTTGAAAGTCTGAAAGCCTGCCTTTGGCGCCTGGAAAACCGACGGGCTGGGATGGGGCGGAGGACAGCGCCAGGACGGCGTAAGCCGGGCAAACATTCCAGAAATAATCCCTTTCCTTGGCGTTGCCTGCATGGCGCGTGGCCGAACTGCCAAGTGTCTCCTGCCAGGGAAAGCTGTCCTGTGCTGGCTCTAAAGCGGGGGGCATACCCCCAAGTCGGAGGTTGATGGGAGGGATTGGATCCCAGAACGGTACCTGGGCGGGGCTGCCCCAGAAGCAGCGGCGGCCCCACCCGAAGGTCCGTGCAAGCCCCGCAAGAGCGGGGACAGGCGACTTCAGGGTAGTACCCCAGGGAGATCTCCTCCCAAGGGGGTGGAGTTCCACACAAACCTCTAAGCCGGCAGGGAGCGCGGCCCAGAATGGGCGTCCGTGGTCAGGCCCTGGGACATGCTCCTGACTCTTGCAGTCTTTGGGAGACAGGGTGGGGGTGGTGGAGGGGAGAAGCACTTTATGCACGAATCATCGATTTTCCTTGACTTTGGCATCACCAACACAGCTTCTTGGAACCCCACACCGGCTACTTGCTGTGTGATGCTCAGTGGTTTACCTGCTCCAGCCTCAGTTTTCTCACCTGCAAAGCGGGGCACGCTAAAGCCCACATTGCTGGCTCTGTGTGAGAAGCCACGAGAGTGTATTTACAGGGCCTCCTACTGAGCCGCTCACAGTAGATGCTCAGCTAACAGTAACCGATGCCATAATCATATGACATTCAGTACAACTTTACATTCTCCTAAGCTCCCTGCCAGGCAGAGTACTGGGTACTGGGGGAGTACCAAGATTGGTTAGGCAAGGTCCTTTACGGAGGACTCAGTCTGGCCAGGAGATGGAATCGCTCACAGCAATTCAAATTAATTTCATACTTAAAGCACACCCAGCTTCCCTAAATATTGCATGGAGGCCAAGGGCTTGGGCAGCTGGAAGGACACTGAGGAAGGAGCCTTTAGTTCCTTTTGAAGAGCAGGGCTCGCCGAGGAAGTGATATCAGAGGTTGCACTTGAGAGGGGGTTGGAATTTCCACCAGTGGCAGGATGGCATTCCAGCGCTGTGAACCACTCGAGCGAAGACCTGGAGGAGTCACCGCGCCCAGGTGTTTGCCAGGCAGTCGGCTGTGACTAGGGTACAGAGTGAATGGCGCAGGGGAACCGGAGATGAGGCTAGAAAGTCAGGCAGATAAAAAGAGAGAGTGGTCACATCTTCCAAAAAGCAAAGAGGTCCCTTAAGAGAATTAACTGGTAAGCGAGGCCAGGAGGGGATTTCTCCTGTAGTGCTGCTTTTAGATTTCGGGCTAGAGCTGAGGAGTGGGCCTGGGTCCCCGGGCATTGCAGCCTGGGGCTCCCCACTCGGGCAGTGCAGAGACACTGCGTGGTTCAGGGATCCAGGGCTGAGGGGCCCGCCTCTGCACACTGTAAACCGTGGCACATGACTCTTCCCTTCTAGGGTCCAGGTTCCTCCTGTGTGATATAAGGAGTTTAGAGCAGAAGCCCTGCATCCTGCCCTCAGGAAGCTGCCCTGTAGGTGGGTAATCAAAACCAAGGCACAGGATGGAACCTGGAACCAGGCTGGGGGAGCTGCTGAGGTTGTCTCAGAAGGGAAGCCTGAGGCAGCTCAAGGGCTGGCACAGGTGATCTGGGTCAGTGTGGGCAACAAGTGGCCCCAGGGCCTGAACGTCATCACCACAGACACTCGGTCTTGTGAGGTTGTGCCTCAGCTTCCCCAAATGGGCTGAGTTTTGCCTGAAACCTAGAAGTTGGGGTGGGGTGGGAGCTCCACTTGAATTCCCTGAGACCAGGGGAGGAGAGGGAGGAGAAGAGGACCGAAAGGATAGAGCCCGAGACACACACTTCCTGGGAGAGTACCTTTGGGCTCTCAATAATACAAGGCAGCTCTCTGATCGCTATTTTTCCGACACGGGAACCACACTCAGAGGGGTCAAGAAGCCTGGCCGAGGCGCTAGAGGAAGGACAAGACTCAGACCCAGGTCTGCCCGACTCCATTGCTCGATGGCTTCCCCGCTTGCACATTTCTGGTTCATTGTCCTTTTCCATGTGGAGCCTTTCCGCCTAGTGGGTGGTAAATTATTTTTCTGATTTCTCCCTCAGACATATCACACATGAGGAGCTGACCGAATCTTTGTGACGCAAGGTCAGGAACTCCATGACCTCCCTCTGCAACACCTGTGCTGACAGTCCAGTCCCCTCCAGGCCCCCCTGAGGACACTGAGATGCTCTACGGTAGTGAAGCTCAGCTATTTGTAAGGAAAAGCCAATGTGGTCTTCCTCATCTACTGATAATAATGATACTTAAGCAGAACATACGTCCAATGAGCTGCAAGTGGAATGTCCACACCACTGGAGATTCACGTCCCCATTTGCTATAAAACAAGGACAGTGTTTATTGGGAGAGATTTCATTCAGGATTTAGTGCCTGGAAGAAAACTAACACTGAAAACCATCTGCATGTCCCTCGAGGAACTGGCAAGCCTCTCCCTCGCTAATAAGAAGAGCTCCGTAACTGATCAGGTTTTCCTTTTTGCACAGGCTGCCAGGAAGCTCAGAGCCAAATTCCACCCTCACTCCCAACAACTTTGGCAGTTACTCCCTCCTCATTCTTCCCTCTCTACTTCTAATCCTACTGACTCGGCCTCGTTTTCTCTGCTTTTTATTAAAGATATCCCCTTTTTTTAATTGCAAGAAAGACATGTTTACAATAAATTCCCATTTGGAAGAGTTGTTGAAGGGACCCAGATTCCATGGGCCTCGTGTTAAGCCAGGCATGGTTCTGTTCTGCTCTGGTCTGGTCCACTTGCCCGGCAGCTGAGGGATCCCTCTCTTGGAAGGAAGGAGGGACTGGCTTAAGACCAAGGGATTCCTCACCCAGCTGCCGACAACAGCTAGGATCAAATGCCCTGGGTCAGATCATTATTGCTATTTTTTGCTCTAATGACAAGCAGCTTGCCTCTCTTCTGCCTGCTCCCCAGGAGGCACAAACCACTATCCCCCACATGCCCCGGAAGCATCCCCCATTAGACCCTCCTGTTAAGGGGTGGCAGGGAACGGACTCCTGTCTTGCATGTGAGCCCCTGCTGCTTACAAACTGCCTACCACGGGCCCAGCCAGGGGCGGCTGGGGGTGGAGGTAGGGATGGTAGGGGGTGGGGCAAAGGAGCAACCTCAGATCATGCGGGTAAGGAAGGTTTCTCAGAGGAGGTGGCATTTCAGTGGGAGTCTTGACAAATTCAGAGGAGCCAGCCCCACCGAGAATTGAGCAGAGAGTTCCTCCGCAGGGGACGCAGCCCCTGCCAAGGCGCTGAAGCGGGACCTAGCTGGGCTTGCTGTGTGAGGTGGCAGGCAGAGGTCAGCGTGCCCAGAGTACGGTGCGGAAGGGGACACAGGGAGGGGGGAGAAGTGGGTGGGATCTGAGTCACCCTTTGCCATGCTTCAGATTGGTTTGCAGTGCAATGGAAGCCACTGGCAACTTCACAGCTGGGGAGACGAGCCGGACCTGATGGATGTTTCCACACAATCCTCTTGGCTGCCATGTAGCTTCTGACATTTACTGAGTGCCCGGGGAGTGGGCAGGCACGTCCACAAAGCATCTTGCTGAATTATCTCCATATTAGAGATGATGTGGGCATGTCTCTTATTTCTGGCGGCCCAGCATCTGATTTCCCTTCCAGCGACTGGGAAACTTCTCACCTTCTGAGCCTTGGGGAGAAGCAGCGTGTGCCCTCACTGTGCCCCCCTAGAGAAGCTGAAAACACCAGGGTTTGTGCCCCCCCCCAATTCATGTGCTGAAACCTAATCCCCAATGTGATGGTATTAGGAAGTGGGGCTTTGGGGAGGTGATTAGGTGAGGAGGGTGGCAGCCTCATGAATGGGGTCAGTGCCCTTATAAGAGGCCCCAGAGAGCTCCCTGGCCCCTTCTGCCCTGTGAGGACACAGGGAGAAAACAGCATCTGTGAACCAGGAGGTGGGTTTCCACCAGAGACACCGAATCTGGCAGTACCTTGATCCCAGACTCCAGCCTCTGGCACGGTGAGCAATAATTTCCTTGTTTTTAAGCAGCCTCAACGGACTAAGACACAGAGCCTCCCTGAAGGTAAGG